AGGCTGACGCCACGGCACTCACTCTCAGCCTGGGCAACAAGTGAGACTCTGTCTCAAAAAAAAAAAAAAGAAAAAATTAACCGGGCATGGTGGCGCATGCCTGTAGTCCCAGGTACTCAGGAGACTGAGGCAGCAGGATTGCTTGAGCCTAGTAGTTTGAGGTTGCTGTGAGCTAGGCTGATGCCACGGCACTCACTCTAGCCTAGCACAAAGTGAGACCCTGTCTCAAAAAAAAAAAAAAAAAAAAAACAAACTTCAAAAGTCAGAGTGATTGGGGATCACAAGGCAAAGCACAAAAGCAGGAAGCTGTTCTATCTTGTTCAATACTGTACCCTAATGCCTACAACAATGCCTGGTACTGAACACACTTGGGTGAGATGGATGAATACAATGAAAAGCCATCTTTAGGGACCCTACCTGCATCTGTGCTTTCTTCACGTTGGCATTGACGACAGCTGCCATGTAGCCAAGAGCAGCCTCACGGGTTTCACCATTTAACAAAATACTATGTAGAATCTTAAAGAGCTCTTGCTGAAATTTATTTTAAAAAGAAAGAAATTAAAACTTCATTTTGAACATTATTCCTTTTGGACTTTGAGAACAGCAAGCCTACTTCTCACTTTCTCTCCTTTCCCACTTCCATTCATATCATTTTGTTAAAAAGATCTTAATTGGCTTTTATTAGGCATTCATAAATCAGGCAATATCCCGTTTATCACAAGAGGAATATAAGAAATGTCCATATTCAACTGTGTCAATATAATTAGCATGAAAGCAGAAAATGGAGTAAAGGAGGTAAGTTGTTAGAGTTTTAATAAAATAGACTTTGTTACTTCCTTTCCATATAGAAATTATCTTAATTACCCAAGCCTATAATTTCTCTGCTTTTAAGTTTCAGAACTGAAGACATTAATCTACACTTGGGATAAATGAGTCAGCGAGAGGTACAAAGAATGTAATAGCTCTCACCCTCACAATTTAAATGGTTAAGGGCAAGCTGGAGAAAGAACATGGCCACTAAACTTAGGACCAGCCCCCAGTGATGCTACGTAAAAAGGGCATCTTAGTATTGTTGTTGCTGTTATTACTTAAGACACAGGTTACTTATATATAGCTAATCTTTCTTTTTCAAAAAATCTTCATTGGCTTTTATTAGACATTCATGAATCAGGCAGCACCCCATTTGCAAAGCAGAAAGAGCTCCATATCTATAGCTGATCTTTTAGTAATCCTTTGAATTTGTTTTCTGAACACCTACCCTTCCAAGCTCTAAGTAATGCTGTAGTGACTGGCTAACAACACGAGTGTTTTCCAGGGTAATGGCAGGCCCTGAAAAATATTTTTCAACCACTTTAGCCTGGAAAGAGAAGGAAAAAAAACTCAATCAACATATAATGTACATTTGGGAAGGAATGTGAACAAAAGAGCAGCAAAATGCAAATGACCACTATACTTACATCATCTTCTGCAAAGACTGAGAAGCTAAAGAAAGCTCCCAAGTAAGAGAGTCTCTGCAGCTCCCGCCCAGAGCCAGGGCTTAAGGATTTCGGCAACCACAATGGCAAAGAAGCAACCTAGGCAAATAAATAGAGGAGGCCAGTCAAGCTGCTAAACAGGCAAATGAGTTGAAAGTACAATGAATAGAGTTCTCAACAGCAACCCTGCTCAGGCGGTTCTCAGCTGCCAGCACAATGGCTGACACTTAACATCTAAAAACACAGGTACACAATACATTAGGATTCCTGCTGTTATTTTCTCACCTCAGATGGAGAAAAACTCTTTGACTCCTGTACATTTTTACAAGATATTGAATTTTTATGTTTCAAATTACTCGAGGATGGAGTTCAAATGAACTATTATACTTTCAAAGGACTTAAGTAAAAACTTCCCCATAGGACCTGTTATTCTAGATGTATAATCCTTACACACACATATACACACACACACACACACACAATCACAGCAGTCAACAACTTCACTGCAGAAAATAACGTGTATGACAACAATTTAACAGGTGAGAGACTCCCAGACATGTTACCGCCATCTACACCTAAATGTCCTTCAAGAGAAGTTTTCAGATAATGTTACTTAAGGAACATCTTTTGCGTTATGATATTAATATATTCACTGAAAATGTGCAGGCCGATCAGGTAGCTCCTTACCAAATTGCATACAGGGTGTGTCTTCCCAAACTTGGTTTCACAGAGTTCACCCAATGCCTAGAAGATCAGAAATAGTCATTTAAATGTATTTCATCTTAAACTCACTGCCATGTGTAACATCAAGGAACAGCTTTATCTGCTGCTGTAAGTATATAAGTATTGCCTCTAAAATGGTAATAGTTTTACTATTTTTTTCTGATTAATAAACTAATATACATGCATTTTAAAAAACTTGAAATAAAACCAATACAAAATGAAACTAAAAAAATCACTCAAACTTTATCCTCAGACATAAACACTATTAATATTATGATTAAGTTTTCCACATATATTTTTGTGTGCTGTGTGTACATATACATATAGTATATATTTTTATAAAAAACATGTTTTTCACTTTGTATCTTTCCATGTCAAAAAGATTTGTTTCATAAATTTTAGATGGCTAGCCTTGACAGCTAAACATGACTATAAATAATTATAACTTAATAAGTTATCAAATTCAGAATATGTTTAGAAAATTCTTAACTTGGTTTCAAGATATCTAGAATTTTCGAGAACTCCAACACTTTCCTTCAGGGCTTCAATCATTCTCACATTAGAGAATTACGAAAAACAGTTTTTAGGGGCATAAGCACAATTCAACATGGCCATAACGCAATCAAACACTCTTTATCAGCAAATTTAATTTTCCCTGTGATTTAGACACAGCTCTGAAAGTTGCTAAACTAGCCAAAGAAAGCTTGTGGGTCACGCGTTTGGGCATTGACACAACTTTTAGAAGCTCTGAGGCTCCAGCCTCTCAGAGGGAAAGTTCTCGCTGCCCAGAGCAGGAGTTCACAAACGTGGCTGCATGTTAGGATCACATGGGAAGCTTTTGGACACCCCAAGGCCAGGCCCACAGCCCCGGCAAACTAAAGGTCAATTTCCAGGGCTGGGAGCCGGGCAGGAGCTTTTAGAGTTTCCCAGATGATTCCAAGGTATGGCTCAGTAGGATCCAGAGAACAATCATAATTATTTCTGATTTTAGCTCCTCTCCCTGCCTTTCATTATTACAGTGTCCTCTCCCTGCCTTTCATTATTACACTCTCTCACTGCATCCTCATTATTATACAACCCTCAATAATGGTACAAAATGAAATTATTGTCTACCACAATGAGGCCTTTGTCTTCTGAGCAAAAGGACACTTTGTTGCTATCTGACACTAAGAGCTCCTCACTGAAACATCAAGCTAATTCAAACAACAACCAAAAAGCCAAGAATTCCATGAAGAACTATTTACATAATACAGTGATCATTAGTGTGCACTAAAATATTTCATCACTGAACTCGAACAATCAGACTGTTCTACTTCCTTTCATCTGCCACAGGCAGAATAACACATAATGACCAATAGAATTTTATTAGGATCCTGAATAACACGCACAATGGAAAGAGCCTCAACATAAATCCATTCAAATTATTTTTAAAAGTAGGAATTCCTGTTTCACCTTCTAATTACCCAGCATTGTCTTTAACTTTTAGCCTTTTAGTGTTATGATGATAGTTTCTTTTAAAAAAAATAGATAAATGTACTCTTTGTGTGCACCTTTGTTTTAGCATTTATCACAGTGTCATTGTCCAGTTGTTTTGTTGGGGTTTTGATTTTTGCAGTAGATTCTAAGTGCCTTCAGCATAGGGACCTTGTCTCACTAGCTTCTGTGTTTCCAGTGCCCAGCACGGAACAGATCCTCAGTAAGTAATGAGCGAATGGTATAAATGGAATCAAATCAGTAGTACGAGTAAGAGGAACAAATACAGCAAAAAAACCCAATTAAACCACGGTCTCAATTTATACAAGGTTATATTTATACATAAATTTATTCCTTCAAACTTCTATAATGAAAAATATTCAGTAATACTTCAAAATATTTTTCTTCAAAAATTTCAAAGGAGCAAATCCGGCACAGAAAAGAGCTTCCTGCTTTCATTTTGGTTCCAGTGTTTTCACAACAGCCAAGTCCCCCCATGAGAATCTAGCTGAAGATTCTGTCTACAATTTATGCTTGCTGTAAGTATCTTAAAGAGCAAAGCAGATCTATGCCTCCCAGGAAAAGCTTCCAGATGAAGTGTATGGCATTAGGAAACGGAAGATGGACAAGAGAGTTACTCTGAGATATTATGCACAGAAGTCAATATATAAAAATAAAACTGCATTACTTTACTTAGTATAACTCTGCCTTTTTAATCGCTTTTTAAATAACAAATTGAATTCCAAATATGGTATGCTCATTGCTAGGAGAATTGGAAGGATACTACCGATAATTATGTTTTATATAAGCTGTATAATATGGTGAAGTACATTTCAATAAGGGCATCACTGACTCCTGTCTAGGACTCAGACAGGTGGAGTATGTACCAGGCTGCTAACTGTCTTCACTGATGCATCTCACTGCACACCAAACACTGCATAGCCAACACAATGATTTCATAAATTTGAAAACAAAGTTGATCATGGACCTGAAAGAAAAGTGTATGTTAAAATAATCTAAAAGAAAAACATCTATCAAATGGGTTAAAGAAAAAGAACAAAGTTTTACCATGAGGGGGTATTTGAAGTAGTCACTATCGAGGGAGCACTCTTTGGCAGCAAGAGCCAGGCCTTGTAAAATGGGGATAAAGATCTATAAGAAAAAAAAATCAGAAATAGAAGTTTAAGAATATGTAAGAATAGGATGCATGTCAAATAAGGTGCTGAATCTGAATGTTCAGGCATTTCTATTCTTTCCTAAGGAAAAGCTTGGAATTTAGAATTCAGCCAGAGTGTTGACCTGTCCTTTGACAAGGCTAACCATAAAGTAATGAAGCTGAATTCTCCAGAAATAAGAGGGTTCTGGCAAACCCTGATACTCTGGCAGGACTCCCAGTACTTCAAGAGAAACCCACAAATTTGGAGACTGGTGAAGGACTCTCCAAGGGTCCCTGCTCTAATCAACTAAATTCTGCACATCTCAGCAACTAATATATTCTTGATTACCAAGCAGCAATAATCTGTAGAAACAATTAAATGTTCTAATATTTTTTCATCTCCATCAACATACTTTTAAAAAGTTTTTTTCTGCTCATTTTGTGGAAAACAAAACAAAACAAAAAGATTGACAATGGATATTGTTGTTAAACTTAATTAAGTTAGAGGAAAGAGATGGCTAGGAAATGTTAAAATTGGAAAGAAAAAAAAAAGCATTGCTTAGAATGTCTTACCTCCACACAGGGTATAAATAATATACTAAGCTGGTATTGGAGCTTAAGAGCACTACAATCTACTTTGATAAAAGTTTACTACTAATATGGGGTAACATCGTGCAAGAGTTACTCAGCACAGCTCATCTTCAAATTTCACAATGTACTTGCTGATCAACATATTTAGGGAGTTGGTTGGGATTCAAGACTAACAGCATTAAGTAGAAGACGTTGTAAACCACAGCTGACAATCTGAATACTACAAGTTGTAAAGGAAGTACACTATGAAGCCAATAGAAACTTGAAAACTTCTCTTTCTACTAATTTCATCCCATCATACTGAGCACCTTAGTCATTTAAAGAGCACAGTACAAACATACCACTGATTACACAGTATCTGTGGAGTGTTTTGAGATATCAACACAGCTCTGGAAGAGCTCATTCTAGTTATTTGCGATTCAAACAATCAGGGTGGAAGTAATATGCTTTCATAAACCAGCTAAAAATGGAGAAGCAACACTCAGGGTATGGGGGAAGGGAATGTCAACATTGCAATCAAGAAGAAAAGACCAGCCCACCCAGTGGCTGTAATCCTAGTACTTTGGGAGGATAGCTCGAGGCCAGGAGTTTGAGACCAGCCTGAACAGCACATTAAGACCTCATTTCTACAAAAAATAGAAAAATTATCCAGGTGTAGTGGTGTGTGCCTAAAGTCCAGCTACTCGGGAGGCTGAGGCAGGAGGATCGTTTGAGCCCAGCAGTTTGAGATTGCAGTGAGCGTGATGACACCACTGCAGTTTAGCCTACGCAGCAGAGAAAGATTTTGTCTCAAAAAAAAAAAAAAAAACAAAGAAGAAGAAGAAAAGACAAACAGAAGTTCTGGAATCACCAAACATAAGTTTATAATTGGTCATCCAAATAATTTCTAAGTATTTTCTCAGGAATGCTATAAGTAAATACCTTTACCCTTTCATTACAGTTATCTACATGTGCAAGTAGGGCTTAATGGAATAATAACTAGACATAATTTTACTACATATATTTTTCAAATAGTCAAATACATTATTTATGTGATAGTGATACATATTTTAAATAATTCTCTTATTTTAAAATCAATGCCACCCAGCATGGATTTAAAATGCTACCAAAAATTCATCTCAATCCTAATCCTAGCTGCTATTTATTTCTGTTTATCTCTGAACACCATTCAAATGTCAAAACAAGGTATAAATTTTAGTGAAAGATTTAACAATTTGCATTTGCTGCTCTTTTAAGACAGAAGGTAAAATGCTGTTTTCAGCTCAGCAGCTCTAGACACTCACTCATCTTTTCCTCCAGAAAAAACACATGGTTCACATGAGAAAAGACAAGGTGTGGCTGAAAAGGGATCAGAATTCTGGGATTAATACTAAACATGTCTGTGGTGGTTATACAACACTGTAAATGCATCAAATGCCACTGTCTTATATCACTTGAAAATAGTGATTTTTATATTATATAAATTTCATCTCAATTTAAAAAACCCAGCCAGGCGTGGTGTCTCATGCCTGTAATCCTAGCACTCTGGGAGGCCGAGGTGGGAGGATTGTTTGAGCTCAGGAGTTTGAGACCAGCCTGAGCAAGAGAGAGACCTCGTCTCTTCTACAAATAGAAAGAAAATTAGCCAATAGCCAAACAACTAAAACTAGAAAAAATTATCCGGGCAAAGTGGCATGTGCCTATAGTCCCAGCTACCTGGGAGGCTGAGGCAGGAGGATCACTTGATCCCAGGAGTTTGAGGTTGCTGTGAGCTAGGCTGATACCACCTCACTGGAGCTCAGGCAAGAGAGTGAGATTCTGTCTCAAAAAAAAACCACAAAAACAAACAACCCAAAGAGGTAATTTCATAACATCTGTGTTTTAAGTTGGTTTATGAATGAAATAGGCATAATATACCCCTTTTGGCTGATCACTGGACTGATCTTATGTAGTTAAAACTACTATCTGTATTTTCAAATGACATCTTTTGAATAGGAAAAGTATTCTAATTAATGCTCATTACATGCATAATGTATTAATATTGGACCACTTAAACCTTCCAAGACAGTTATTTAGTTTCATCAGAGTTCACTTATCTTTCTAAAGATTTGAAAGGCTCACTATACTACCTTACTATTTCTGTAAGTCAACAAGACCATCATTTAGGGTAAGTAGTTTACGCATTCTAGATACAGTAAACAACACTAATTGGAATTTTTATTCTTGAATCCTGGATTCTTCTTTAAGGAATATTTTCAAGACTACTGAAAACACAATTCCAAAGAATTAAAAGGTCTTAAAATTAATAGTTAGGAATAATATTAGGTATTAAACAGAGGAAAAGGAATCATACCAATTATAGCTACCGCCCCTATTATTTTCTCTAGTCACACAAAAACAGAATGATGATACAGCAAGCAAACTGTAAGAAAATTTTATAAAAATCCTGTCATCTAAGAGAAGCAACTGTGTGAAGGTTCTGGGCAAAGTGCTCACTTTACAGAACAGGTCCATAAAACAGCAATGAAAATGTTAATCCCAAAATGTCACCTTGGAAGAAACTTTCCAGACTAAGTAAACAGTTTTATTATTAAATATCACATATTTCATTTTCACTTGTCTTTATACAAATGAAGTATCAAAACAATGTATAAATACTTAATGGAATAATTAGTAAGAAACGAGACATCTTTCCTAATTAAGTGGTGAGAAGACAAAGATTCTAAGTGGCATGCAAACTGCCATGGGTTAATTTATTAATCTTATAAACTTAGAGAACTAATTTTTAACACTACTCATCTGACAAATGCACAGCATGCCTTATGTCATCTTTTGGTGTTCTCCTGTTAAAAGCTCCTTGAAATCAGGGACAGGGCTTTGTATTTTTTTCTTATCTCCCAAAGCACTTTAAAAGTCTATGTTTGGCCAGGCATGGTGGCTCATGCCTGTAATCTTAGCACTCTGGGAGGCTGTGGCAGGAGGATCGCTTGAGGTCAGGAGTTCGAGAAAGCCTGAGCAACAGTGAGATGCCATCTCTACTAAAAATAGAAAAAACTAGCCAGATATGGTGGTGTGTGTCTGTAGTCAAGCTACTTGGGATGCTGAGGCAGGAAGACTGCTTGAGCCCCAGAGTTTGAGGTTGCAGTGAGCTAGGCTGATGCCACAGCACTCTGGACCAGGCGACAGAATGAGACTATGTCTCAAAAAAAATAAAAGACTAATTAGTTTGACTAATTAGTTGAAATGGACACGTGATTTGAACAATGTAGCTGTCAATCCTAACTCCTCAAGAAATAATCTCAGGTAGGTCTTTTCCCTAGGCAAATAATACATACATATTCAAATTCAGAAACAAAATTTTTCAATATGTGGTGTGTTTAGAAATCAGCCTCAGCATAGAAACTCTTAGGCAAAGTTGCAGTAACAAACTCATACAACCATACCTGCTTGAACACTTCTTCATCCTGGTGAGTAGTTCTCACCAGTTCTTGAATGAAGCCATATGGGAGATTCCTACACAGCATATACGGCACTAGGAAGGACGGCTGCTGCATGGACCTGTGGACCCATGAAAATCAAGGACTGTGATGAAATCACCTTATTACCATGTAACAAAGCACATGTCAGTAACAACTACTACCCAGTCAAAACTCAAACTTGAAATCTCCCAAATATTCTGAACAATAGTTTTAGACAAAAGATAACCCTTCTAATCATTAGTAATCATTTTTTGGCATTTTTAATGAGATACTATAAGAAGTTCAAAAGAATCTATCTTTTCCTACACAGAGCCCTTTAAAAATGAAGCATTAAAACAAATGATGCGGCCGGGTGTGCTGGTGCATGCCTATAATCCTAGCACGCTGGGAGGCTGAGGCAGGAGGATCCCCCAAGCCCAGGATTTTGAGGTTGCTGTGAGCTAGGCTGACGCCACAGCACTCTAGCCCAGGCAACAGAGTGAGACTCTGTCTCGAAAAAAAAAATTCAAAACAAAACAAAACAAAACAAAAACAAATGATGCATTGTATGTTTCTTTTACTTATTTGTTTATGCCTCAACCAAATTGGGGGCAAAAAAGATTAGTAGTGGCTGAAGACTTTTAAAAATTTCTTATTAATTTTAACCATGGAACATTTTTTGAGTTTTAGTATATGTATACAATTTTCCCTCTTTTTGAAAAGTTTCAAAAACATATGGTTATGGGACAGAAAATAATATAAAAATACCCAGAATAAATAAATGTAACTGTATTCATTCTAAATGAATAAATTAACGTCTAAAATCCTTTAGATATTTTTTGTATAAAAGAAATGAAGTATACTCCGTTTTTAAGAACTTGAAACCTTTATGTAACTCTCAAAAACAAACAAACAATGTAGTACTCTGGGTGATTTCACAGCTTATCTATTCCATTACTGATTTGTATTACTGACTGAACAACAGAGGCTGTGTGATACATGGAAGGTGATGACCCACAAAAAAGCAGTTGCTTTTCAATTAAATTATTAATTTTCTGCCTTGATGTCTACATAGTTCAACAACAGGCTATTTCAAAAAGCACACAGAACTCTTAAAACATAACTAATTTTTTTTTTAAGAGATGGGTCTCACTCTGTTGCCCAGGCTGCAGTGCAGTAGAGTAATCATAACTCACTGCAGCCTTGAATTCCTGAGCTCAACCAATCCTCCTGCCTCAGCTTCCAGAGTAACTGGGACTATACAGGTGTGTGCTACCATGCCCAGCTAATTTTTCTTATTTTTTTGTAGAGACCTAGTCTTGCTATGTTCCCCAGACTCTCAAGCAATCCTCTGCAGAATGGCTGGACAGGCTGATGTCCACTGATGGGTAGGTTCCTCTGCCTTCTAACATCAAGCACGCAATGGTTCTTCTTACCTCGGCTGCGTTAGGGAGCCTTGCAGTACTAACGCGGTATGGGATATGCACTGAGAGCGGATGTTGCTCAGAAGCTGGCTGACTGCTGGCTGGCTGCACATCTGAAAAAGAAAGGTGGAAGTTAGGAGGATAAGAAACAAACAAAATAATCTCATGCTGCTGAAAACTGACAAGAGTCAGAAGACACTGACTGCCATAAAATGGCATGGGCTTTCCTCTTCCTTTATTCATAATGATCAAGTATACAAATACACTGTGTCATCCAAGTATACTGCCTCAGTGAAACCAACAGTCAGAGAAGAAAGAAGTGCAAGTTTGAAGTGACCACTTAAGAACCTCGGAAATGTGCCCACTGTCTTTGCTTTCAAGCCCCTATGAGATCTTTCACAAATTTGAAACTAACCAGTGAACAACTGGAATGTAAACTAGAACCAGAAAATGAAATAGGAATAAAATGAGAAAACAATGAAGCCAATCAGCACATAAAAGGGGAAAAGGTGTAGCTTGCTGAGAGTTTAAACCTAGCCTTGCAACTTATTACTTGTGATTCTATGTGATTAGTATGTGATTCTGGACACTTACAATTTCATTTGCTGGTTCATACAACGGAAAAAGAACACTTATCCAATACTGGGTTCCACTGGACTAACTAGGCACCAGTGAGAATACAAGCTAATGTAGACTTAGCACAGCACTTGATGGTCCACAGGTGCTCCATAATGTTGGTCATTACAGTGATTATGACAATCAGAAATTATCAGGGCCAGGAGCAGTGGCTCACACCTGTAATTCTAGCACTCTGGGAGGCCAAGGCGGGAAAATCACTTGAGCTCAGGAGTTCAAGACCAGCCTGAGCAAGAGCAAGACCTCGTCTCTATCAAAAGTAGAAAAAGTTGTTGGGTGTGGTGGCATGTGGTTTTAGTCCCAGCTACTCGGGAGGCTGAGGCAGAAGAATTGTTTCAGCCCAGGAGTTTGAGGTTGCTATGAGCTAGGCTCACGCCATAGCACTGTAGCTCAGGTGACAAAGCGAGACTCCATCTCAAAAAAAAAAAAAAGAGGCCAGGCAGGTGGATCGCTCAAGGTCAGGAGTTCAAGACCAGCCTGAGCAAGAGCAAGACCCCGTCTCTACTAAAAATGGAAATAAATTAATTGGCCAACTAAAAATATATAGAAGAAATTAGCTGGGCATGGTGGTATATTCCTGTAGTCTCAGTTACTCAGGAGGCTGAGGCAGGAGGATTGCTTGAGCCCAGGAGTTTAAGGTTGCTGTGAGCTAGGCTGACGCCACGGGCACTCTAGTCCCGGCAACAGAGTGAGACTCTGTCTCAAAAAAAAAGAAGAAAAGAAAGAAATTATCAGGGCCATGTACACCCAGCAACAGTGTAGTCAAGAGAGAGGACTCTGAAGTCAAGCCACCTAGGTTCACATTTTGGCCCTATCACTTCTTTCCTCTACTAGAATGTGAGTGCCATGAGGGTAGGGATCTCTGTTTTGTTCAGTGATATAATCGGAGTTTCTAATATAGTGCTTGGCACATAGCAAATACTTAATAACTACTTTACTGATTAAATAAATGAATAAATGCTCCTAGAGGGGGATTATTTATCACACAAATAACTAAGTTTTTAAAAAACGGAATCTATTTCATATTACCTTTGGTGCTTTTTTTTCCTCTATTCCAACTCGGTCAAAACACTCAATGAGGTAGTTCAGCATATCTGTCTCCTTGCACATTTCAATGGTAAAATGGTCACTGTAAGAATCCCAGTTACTTGCTCCACCAGAGGCTCCCAAACTTTGGAGAAGAGAAAAAAATTGATGATTCTTATCTCTTCTTGATTATTTCTTTTTGACAGAGTTTGCATTTATGCAGCAGAAAGCCTGTTAGGATCCTTGCACCCATGACAAAGCTCACACACCCATGTAGCCAAGATTGGAGCTGACTGCTTGTTTTGCCTGTTCCAAGCCCAGCAATAGTAATTTTTGGTTAACATTTTTTGGACCTAAGAAAGGGACCTTTTCTTACTGGGGATAGCAACTTACAAAGCTATGACACCCATGACAAAGCTCAAACACCCATGCAGCCAAGACTGGAGCTGACTGCTTGTTTCGCCTGTTCCAAGCCTAACAATAGTAATTTTTGGTAAACATTTTTTAGACCTAAGAAGGGGACCTCTTCTTACTGGGGAAAGCAACTTACAAAACCTGAAGGACTAAGAATTGCTACTGAGTACTAGGCATTTGAAGGAATATCACACGTACTTAAACCAAACTGACCAGCATCACTCAAACAGACCTGTGGGTTAAAGCCAGACTATACTATTGCTGTCATCAAACTCCTTAAGAGTGAAGTTATAAGGGACTAACAAAATATCCCTTATCCTTAGGACTTCTAGCAGAGATCTCAAAAGCCTTCATCCAGCATTTGGCAACAGGACCAGAGCTTAGGAAAACTGTCTAGTTAGAAGAGGACATAAACATATTTGCTATCAACATAAAAATTTCTAAAAACTCTCCATAAAAACAAAACAAAAATCTTGCACTGGGAATAACCAGACTCGGGTTCTAGTCCCAGTCCTACTGCTAATTTGTTGCCTGGACCTAGAACCTCTATCTGATTTGCAGTAAGACTTTAATAAAATAATGTGGAAGTGCTTTGTAAAATATAAGCAGGATACAATGTGAACCACTGTTATTATTAGTAATAACTATTCTCTGAGACACAAAACAAACATAATCACAGGGTTAAGTTTGAGGAAATTAAAGTTGGAATCAACAATTGACAGGTCACATACCAAATCTGGTCTTTAACTCTCAAATTGATAAAGAGATTAATCATGGCTAGAAGCAACAAACTCTAAAATGAAGAGGAAATGAGAAAATATAAACTTAGCAAAAAAAAAAAAATTGCATACAGAAGATAATACAGGAGGGGACTATCAGAACCGTGAGAGACATATCCCTACTTCAACCCAGGGCAGATAATGTCTAGAAACTAAAAAGACCAAGAGGAATTAAGATATCAATAACATGCTTTACAGATAGATAGATATGCATGACTAATTTTGGAATACAGTAGTAGGTGTAGTAGGCCACACCATCTAGGTTTGTGTAAGTCATGATTTCTGAACAATGACAAAATTGTCTAATTACATATTTCTCAGAATGTGTGGCCGTAGTTAAGTGACACAAGACCATATATACATAACTGTCCTTAGAATTTTGGAAAAATATACATAATTGACCTTGGAATGAAACACGGATATTAACATATTTCAATAAAGGTGTTTAAGGTGAAAGCAGTGCCAGTTTGAAATCCAAGGCATGCAGCCCACACTCTAGTAAATTTGACGTGTACAATCTACAATCTAGGTCGGATAGATGGGGGTGGGGGTAGGAACCCAGTGTGGGGATGAGGAGCCGATGAGGCTGAGGGCAGTCACAGGAATAGAGAGGCTATTCCCTGCTAGCTGAGCTACCCACAAGGCACCTCACCAGAGTCATGGCAAAGGTGGGCAGGTCAGCATGGGAACCCCAAAAAACAAAGATAATTAATCCTTGTGTCTTTATAGCAATTAATTTTTTGGTATATTTCATTATTAATTAGTGGCAGGATCTGGTATCTGCTAATTGGCCTGACAATAGAAAGGTGAATATTGTAATAAAGCACAGGAAAAACATACGTACTAACAGAAAAACCCATTAACTGGTAAAAATGTAGTGAATCCCCCAAAGTAGAAAAGGGAAAACAGAGATTTGTCTTTACTTGCAGCCATCTTAGTGTCAAGCAATTCCTCCTTCAAGTGACATTAGTGACTCGGTGATTATCTTCACTGCACTTCCCAAAGACAAGCTTTGCTGATACAGGCTTGTACCTATACACAATTGAGGGTAATTTTCCTTTGAGCAGCACTTGCAGATGACAATGAAAATAGATCTTCCTCATGTTTAAAATGAAAAATTTAAACTATACATTTCCCTGATTGTAAGTCCCACATTTCTCACATTTTTACATTTCTGAAATAGAAAGCATTTTATGCTTGATCTCAATAGGTCCTTGCCGGCCAGGATCTTTGTAGATGCGAGTAAATTAAGGTTTTGAGATGGGGAGATTATCTTGGATTATCTAGGCAGGCCCTAAATGCAATCACTTGTATACTTATAAGAAGGAGGCAGAGACTGGGTGCAGTGGCTCATGCCTGTAATCTTAACACTCTAGGAGGCCGAGGCAGGAGGATCACTCGAGCTCTGGAGTTTAAGACCAGCCTAAGCAAAAGTGAGACCTTGTCTTTACCAAAAATAGAAAAATTAGCTGGGTGTGGTGGCGTGTGCCGGTAGTCCCAGTTATTCGGGAGGCTGAAGCAAGATGCTTGCCTGAGGCCAGGAGTTTGAGGCTGCCATGAGACAGAGCAAGACCTTGTCTCAAAAAAAAAAAAAAAAAAGTCCTTGCCCACTACAAGGTGTCAGTTTGATGCAGCAGGAAAAGCTAATGTGTGAGCGTTTGTGTGAACTGAGCATGTTTATGTGGAGTCAGCTCACACAGCTGCCACTGAAATTAGGTTCCACTCCTAACAATACATTCCATTTAATTTTCAATTAAATCTGAACCTCTCACTGCCACTTAAAATACCTTCACAAATATTTCACTAAGACATTAAAAAGTGACAACGTATATAGACAACTGTTCATCTTTGCCAGGGAATGCAACGAAAGGCATTCGGAATACATTAATAAAAGAGATTGGTGTATTTTGGGGAACATCAACCAGCCCAGCACCAAACATCCAGCTGAATTTCAAGGAGGGAGGATGGAAATGAAACAAATCTTTAACCAAATAGGAAATGTAGCATAAGCCTCAATATTTGGCAATATGTTTCAAAATGATAAAATCAATCCTAAGGGTGCCAAAGTCAGTCATGAACACAAGTAGGAAAATGGCCAGTCTCACCCAATGCTAAGCAGAGTTGCTAATGGTCAAAACTGATTTATAAGGATTTTTAGATTCCAAGTGAAAGAGTTGAATTTAAATTTTGAATGTGATACTGAAGGAGTAAGTGGTGTATAGTCTATATGCTTCGGCTTATGCTATCAACAACCACTGTTAAATGTTTAAAGTTACTACTTTAAAAAGCAGTTAAACTACTTTCATTTTTTTCCCTCAAAAAGATGTTTAAAAATTCCTGATGTTTTCACAACTGTGATGTCTTAAAATCTTGGAAATATGTCATATTTCAGTCCTAAGGTCATCTAAAAAATTATATCTCCCTGTGGGAGAGTATTTGAACAATTTTCTTCTAACTACATCAGCAGTCTGATGATGTAATTACTTCGCATAACAGAAAAAGTGCTGTATCTTTCTGAAAACACGATGGAAAAAACATGCCTAGGGATTTACACACACATCAGATCTGTGCAGCTTCAATCTCATTTTAAATGCACCAAGAAAACTTGCTCTTAAAGGGACTCTATTATAGTTTCTTCAATAAGGAGAATAGTTACCCTCTCATTTACTGATATTTTAAATGCAGACTTTGGAATTCTGTGTTGTCTCAATGCAAGGCAAAAGCCAGAGTTGTGCAGGTTTGAGCACTACAAATTTATCCAACAAGCGTTTACAGTGGGCCTCCTAGGTTCCAGGCACTGTGGCAGGTCCTGGGGAAGGGCCAGGACGGAATCAAACAAATGAAGACTTTGTTGACATGGCGGTTATACCGTTGATGGGCAGCCAGTCAAAAACAAATTAATATTTAAGCGGCAAGAATAAAAGGAAAAGCAGAGTACGGGTGATGGAGAGGGGCAGAGTGTGTGTGTGTGTGTTTTATATAATGGTTAATACAATGGGGTCAAGGACCATCCTCTGCCAGACCTGAGGGAAGTCAGGGAACAGCCACACAGCTATCTGTGGGAAAGTGGTCCAAAGAGAAAAAACAAGTACAGAGGGCCAGAGGGAATAAGTTCAAAGGACGAGCACCTAGTGTGAGAGCTAGAGGAGCCAGGCACCTGGAGGAAGACGAGGTTAGAAAGAGAAGTGTGTATGTGCGCGCATGTGTGCAGGCATGCCTGGTGAGGGGGGAAAGAGGGGAAGAGGAAGAGAAAGGAGAGAAGAGAAGAGAGAGAGAAAGAGTGTGTACGTGCTGTGTGTATGGGAGATACAGGAGCTCATGGGCCACGGTGCGAGGCTCTGGGTTTTACTGTATATGAGAAAGAAAATCACTGGAAGGTTTGCGGACAGACATGATAGAAGGATTCTTCTTTTCCAGTACCTCTGTCTCATCCTCAAGCAGTGATGATCAGAGAAACTGGAGGGTAAATGTCAATGGTCTTTACTATTCGGTAATTTTCCCTCTCTCTACTCACCATAGGGCTTAGGACATTTAAGATTTGACTTTTTGCAATGAAATATCCACACATTTTTTTAAAAAAGACAAACACCAAATTTCTTTCTAGTCATCAACTTCCTAGGAAACAATTAGAAATATTTTTTCTCAGGATCACTTCTATGGTATCTTTAGCACAGGGTAATTTTAACTCCACTTTTATGCCACTCCTGCAGGAAGCAGTTCCTTCTAATTCATACCGTTCTTTTCACAGAAGACTACAAACCCTTACAGAAGGAATGTTTTACCTTTCTGAAATCAATCCTTATCATCAGCACTATAAATAAGTAACATATAAATGTATGTCCCAACTACTTCCAACAAGATTTGCAATACATCAACTCCACTGAGCAAACAGACCAGGAGACAGATATTATACAACCCCTGTTGACTCTTTTTTTCTATGACGTTAACCTTACCAGGCGAGAAATAGGTGTTAAAATTGCTTACCTCAAAGTAAACACAATTCTGCAAAGATCAATCAGAAAGGTGACGGGAAAAACTATTTTTTTGCTGATTGCTCAAATTAATAAGGTTTTTTCCTACCCCTTCCTGGTTCTGACCTTCATGCAATCTTAAGTTCTTCTATTTGTTTAACCAGTCATGTTATGTATTTTTACCCATCTTTTTGCATTCTTTTTGATATCAATTAAGAAGCTATAAGCTGCCAAAATCCAAATGACCAGATTTCATTATAACAGCCAACAAGGGAGTTACAACTGCCTGGGATGGAATTCTGTAATTAAGGAGTAAAATGCTGGCACTGCCTTAGCCAGAAGCAGAGCGCATGCACAGACTCTTGGCAGTGAGATAACTGGTACAGAACAAGAACAACACAAGCCCTATTTGGGCAAAGATGGAAAACGGCAGCAGCAGGGTGTGGTGGTAAAGAACGTGAGCTCTGGGTTCAGGCTGCGTGAGCCTGTGACTTTCACCCCGCTGTACCCCACTTTCCTCCCAGCAGGTTCAGTGTGGAGTAGGGAGATAACGTGTGCACGGTGCTGACAGTACCTGGCACATAGCGCTCCGTGAGTACATGCAGCTATTATTAAACACGCAGCAACTTTTACTTCTCCCATTAGGAAGAGAACCAAGATCTGAGGCAAGGCTGGGATGTTAGAGGTCTAGAAAGAGAGGTGTTAGTAAAAGCAGCACACACTCTATTTGCTAGAGAAAGACAGAATTAAATAGGCCAGGAAGAAAGCGTTTCTCGCACAGATGATTTACAGTAAAACAGATAACACAGCACTTTCACCAGGAGGAGGCTGATTCCTAGGAAGGAGGCCTGCTGTGTCACTAGAATCATGCAAGAGGATTTCATCTACATGAAAGACACTTTCACCTTTGGGAAATTTACTTGAGAAACAGTGATATAATGCTCACTCTAATACAAATATCAACCTTCCTGAATCAATATTCAACCTTACATCAACATTCCTCTCTCTTTATATACTCTCTAATGATTCTTCTGAATGCTGTCAAATTTAATGAAGTGTACCTAATTCCTACCATCTCTATTTATAGCCTAGAGTTATTTTTCAATAGTGCTGGGGGAAAAATGCCAACTTGGCTCAGAGGAAACTTCAATTTAAGAGCAAAATTATAAAGCAATGACTCAGAGGATTAGAAAGAAGGTGCTATTATTTATTTTTAATTATTATGAGTACATAATAATTGTGTATCTAGAAAAAAGGTGCTATTATATTCTCTTGCTCAAAGTCACCTAGAAAAGCCAAGTAGTGTTTTTCACTCAGTTTTTAGGGGTAAACATTCAGCAACATCCTGAACTGTTTTAGCCTCTGTTGTCATTCTAAAGGCTATTTAAACAAAAGAGGTCTGGCTTCACTGAGGCCCAGGAGGTACTTAGAGAACTGTTAGATATGAAAGCAGAATCACAGTAATATCAGACAGTATGACCCCATATGGTCTTTAAGGGATTGATTGCCCAGACTGACTCCCCCACACCTCCCTCCCCAAGCCCCAGCCCCCTCTCATCCCTAAATAGCAGTAATCCATGCAAGTGTACTTAAGAAAATATGCCTAACAGAGCATATGTTGCTTACACTTGGTAGCTCATGACATTCTCATGATAGATAAATGAAGGAATCCTCATTTTATATCAAAAGGTATAAATAAGGGTGAACTTGTTGATAACTGATCTTTAATCTTTAATCTGTTTTCATGTTTTTGACAAATGATTTTATGTAAGTTTTCCTCCAAACTTACCAGGCAGCAACTATGAAATTTTTCCTATGTGTCACTCTCTCCCATGATAAAGTCTGAACACTTCTGTGCACTCTCTAGCCCACCTCATCTGACCCTATCCCATTTGGATTCAAAGCACACCCCTAGTTAGAGCTCACAAAAGTTAGTTCCTAAGCACGTAGGCACATGCAGGGGTCATACTCCATTCCTCTGATACCTGGACCCAAACTGGACACAAGAAAAATCATCACCACCACCACCACCTTCATCATCACCATCACCATCATCATCTTCTTCATCATCTTCATCACTACTGTCCCCAGAAAGTGCGAGGAAGAGGAAGGAGAAGGGATTGTCGTACATACTACCACAACAAAAGCAAAAAAGGTCATCAGGGAACAAAGGAAAAACAAGACAAGGAGAAGCTTTTGCAATTGCTCTCCTTTTAAATAAATCTTACACTTACAGTTTTGTCCACTGACATGCAGGGATACGATTCATCTAAATTACAGAAATACATAGGTACATTTGAGAGAAGGGGCCACTGGATTAGTGGAATTCTGATACTGTTTCTTACTAAGAGGCTGAAATCACGCACGACCAAAACTCAAAGTGTCATGGTGTGAGCTGACCCACCCCGCTCAGGGGAAGGAAGGACACCAGACCCTGATTTGCTCCCATGCACCCTTGATCTGACTGCATTTCAACTACCACTGGCAAAAGGACAAAGAGTCAAAAAGGGTTCCTGTGAGCCCCAACTCTCAAATACAACACTGACCACAGCCTCTGAAATTCACTTGTAATGAGGAATGACATGTGAACCAGATTGCAAAAAACCAAGTTCTTTCTTTTTTCTCCTACAGGAAGGAGGAAGAGTGTGGGGAAGAAACAGGCTCACGACAGAGCAACCCATACTTTCCGATGTGATCAGAGCCCAGCACAAGTGTGGACTTGTAGTGCGTGCTTACCAAACTAGTTAGCCACACGAGTTAATAACCCAAAACAACAAAAATTTAACTGAGGTCAGTGTCACACAGCAGTTCTTCCAAACCATGTTAATGTCCTTTCCCTGCACTGCAAACACACACGCAACTCTCCTACTGAATAAATACCTAGGAGAGATCCTCAGGGAGGAGGGACGTCTGCTCACGGCACTGGGAGAGGCGGTGGGCGGGAAAGGCGGCCCCATGCTGGTGGGCCTCTGTCTGGAACTGCTGGCAGGCACTGCTCGGGGGCTACTGGCGGGGGCAGGGAGGCTTGGGGAGCTGGACAGAACAGAGATGCCTGAAGACCGTGGGGTGGGAGAAGGTGAGGACCCCCACGGGTGAGTGAGAGTGTAGGGGCGATACCGCGGGGACGACGGCTGGCTTGCTGCAGCAGTTCCAGAAGCCGCACTCTGAGGACTGAGGAAAGAGGAAGGCACAGCTGTCTGGCTGGCTGCACGGGAGGGTGAGGCAAAAGACGGGCTCATCATGGGGACAGAGCTCCAGAAACTGGTGGTGGGAGCAGGACTAGTTTCATAGAGGCTAAATTAGTTGAGAAAAGGAGGAAAGAAGAGAAAATCAAAGAAAAACTTGAGATAACTAACTAAAATGGAAAATATAAAGCTTTTAAAGGATAGCATAATCACATTTCCCATCTCCAAGAGTTCAAGCATACAGATCTATCAGATGAACATCTAAATAATTATAATCTAATTTCTGTACTGATGAGAGGCTGCACTTATAATATGCTAAAGCCTCCTTTACAGAGAATAATGTAGTATATAGACAGCAATTTGTTTCTAAAATTTAATCTACCAATAGCCTAACCATGAAAAGCCAAAGAAAAAAAAAAAAAAAAAAGAAAAAACAATACCATCCAATGACTATCACTAACTCCACCCCTCCAAACACAATACATGCCACAGTATGCATGACAGAGATTACCACTGTGAATAAACAATCCCTGCTCCTACATCCTTCATGGCTGTTATACTACCAGTTAGATGTGCAAAGAGAACCACACTGACCTAGACAAAGAGCTGGCACCAAAGGAACCCACACTGCAGAACATGGGGCTTGTTCCTGGATTGGAGCCAGTATTGAGTATCAGATTTCTGTCTGGTGACCGAGCTGCTGCTGCAATTGGCTGTGACGTGGCTGTCAGACTGGCGAATGGGTTTTCATCTCTAGTCTGAGTGGACATCATTAGCACTTCCATTAATATCTGGCCAATCAAGTCCTTAAAATCAGAGAACACTGTTGAAAAAGCAGAATAAAGAATGAGTTACACACAGGTCTTCATACACACAGTCCTTGAATAAGCCAAGCTGAACCAGAGCTGCTCAGTATGGTGTCCTGGATTGGACTTTGGTAAATAAACGGACATTAGTGGAAAACCTGGAGAAACCCAAATAAAGTCTGTTTAGTTAATAGTCATTTCTTAGCGGCGGGCGTGGTGGCTCATGCCTGTAATCCTAGTACTCTGGGAGGCCAAGGCGGGTGGATCACTCAAGGTCAAGGTCAAGAGTTTGAAACCAGCCTGAGCAAGAGTGAGACCTTGTTTCTACTAAAAATAGAAAGAAATTAATTGGCCAACTAAAAATACATAGCAAAAATTAGCCAGGCACGGTGGCACATGCCTGTAGTCCCAGCTACTCAGGAGGCTGAGGCAGGAGAATCACTTGAGCCCAGGAGTTTGAGGTTGAGGTGAGCTAGGCTGACGCTACGGCACTCTAGCCAAGGCAACAGAGTGGGACTCTGTCTCAAAAATAAAGAATAACATGTAAGGCCAGGAATGGCGGCTCACACCTGTAAGCCCAGCACTTTAGGAGGCTGAGGTGGGAGAATTGCTTGAGGCCAGGAATCTGAAGACCAGCTTGGTCAACATGGCAAAAAAAAAAAAATTGTCTCTACAAAAAAACCATCTCTACAAAAAACTGTCTCTACAAAAAAATTTAAAGATTAGCTGGGTGTGGTGGCATGCACCTGTAGTCCCAGCTACTCAGGAGGCTGAGGCAGGAGGATCACTTCAGCCCAGGAATTCAAGGTTATAATGAACTGTGATGGTACCACTGCACTCAAGCCTGGCAACAATACGAGATCCAAACAAATAAAAACAACAACAAAAAAACATGTAGCAGGGTTTCAAACACCTGGTTGCTAAGCTCATCTCTATAACCAGAGGTAATAAGATACCAGTAAAATCAAATATTGCCTCCAAGAACACAGAGGATTTTCTCCTTCCCTTTCCTGCAAGATAGGCAGCATAGGCAAGGGAAAGGTAATCTCCTTGCTATTTATTCATTTAAAATGTACACATTAAGGAACTATTTTGCACAAGACACCATTCTAGTCACTCGGGATACATCAGTGAGAAAACCAGACAAAAACTGCCACCATCGGGGAGGTGACAGTCCAGTGATAAGCAGAAATACACCCCGGCACATTTCCCCCACCTCTTCCGTATTCCAAATAACTGCTGTAAAGAAAAACAATAGTGCCCTATAATGCTGATATCTTGCTAAGAGTTTTATTATTGCTATAAGTGTGGCTTAGCATAGCCTCTTAAAATAGAATCCTGGAAACACAGCAAAATGTCATTATGTTCTATTGCTAAGCAATTTAATCAAACAGATTGACCCCACTGTCTATACATGGCCTGGTGGGCACTTAAAGCAGGTGTCTGTCATACAGAACACCTCTCTCAGGATCCAGAAAGACCACCCAGTATACTCCTACTTTATAAGAGGAGCTAATGCTCTCTCTAAGCACCTTCCTACTACAAAGGAAAAAACTTTGGAGACCAGTAACTTTATATAGTTTTCTTTTGTAGAAATCATGAAAGTGAAAAATAATTTATCAATAAGATCAGAGGAATAAAAAAAAAAGGAACTAAAGAGCAGTGCCCTCACCAAGAAGTATCCCTGTAATAAAAAATCCACCTAAAAGAGTGCATGTGGATAATAGAAGACAAAGCTCTTACATCTTGCTTTCTTATAAGTACTCTGAAGTTAAGACTGTGGAGCTAGATTCCTACCTTCTTTTGGGTTCTGCTTAAACTGTGCAGAAAGAGAAGAAAGAAAGATGACATCTCTGTCTCGGTCCTTCCAAGAGACACGGAAGATCTTACAGACCAGCTGTAAGGCCTGCTCTTCAGACACTTCAGGGCCAGAGGAAGGTTCCTAGTGAGGAAGAAGATTTGAGTGTTCATTTCAAATAGGAAGTATGACTTAGGCACTTAGGGAAAACTAAACTTGTTACTGTGACATCAAAGTTACAACATCTAAGTCTCAGGAGCTTACAATACAACCTACGGGGGAGTATAAAGGAACACGGGCATTACCAAAGTTACCAAGGAATAAATGTTAAAAATCACATACATATCTTAGTTATTTACTTTTCTAAACTCCAAAGGACCAGGTTAACATTTTAGGTACACGATCAATTTTCCTCCAGGAATTTTCCCAAAATTTAACATTTCTTATTACATTCTACCACAGTTAAAACATCATATATGAAAGAATTTTGTGCGCATTTAAAAACTATACAAATAAAGCATTGCACCAATAGGAAGCTACAGCCCAACTTCTAATAATCATTAACATGTGTTGCTAATAATTTACTGAAAAAGAAGAGGTGCAATTAGCTATATTATGACACCCTAAATATACAGAACCAAGGTCAGATGATAAGCAAATGTAAAGGCCTTATGTTTTCAAAAAGCTTCTACTTGCTACAGGATTCTACATATTCTTGCTTCAATTCCCAGCCATTTTCCTCAGAATACTGCCAAAGATATGATGATCTACTTTTGCTTAAAAGCAAAAGACCAATAGAAAAAATTCTAATTAGCTCTAAATTAGTTCCTATTACAAATGAAATTTACTGACAAAAAACAATGATAACATGATTTTTATCAGATCAAAGGACTGAGTTATACTTCTTTTAATAAGGGCAACCTGGGCCACCTATTTTTCCTGAAAAGAAAAAAAAAAAGTCACCTGCATAGGACTTCCTGATTTAGGGAGGTCTATTCTAACAGACTCTCCAGATAGAAGACATGAGAAGGTGTTTTTATTACCTGTACTAAAAACTGAGGCCAGGGCTTCGTTGCTTACCAACCTTATCACTGAGGCTCCTTTTTTCTCTTCGATCATTTTCATCAACTTCCATATTTTCAATTCCTGAATCCACATCCACCTGGGACATGCTTTAAGTACAAAAGACAAATAAAACTTTTACCTTTTATAAACCCACACAATGTCAGAGCTGCTGGTTGAGGAAAAGTTTTAAAAAAAATCAGTCAAAATTGGTCAGGAAAGCAAAATGATAAAGGTTCATCTTTTTCTTAATAATTTCTAAGAGCTCTTCATAAATTAGGATTTAAGCATTCTACCACACATGTCAGAAATAATTTTCCTAAATTGTCGTTTTTTCGGGCCCACTTTTTAAAAAATCATTAGAGCAAATTCTCTATGTCATTTTTAAATGATATAAAACTCAATCTGGAGAAAAAGAAAAAAACTCAATCAGGCTAGGTGAGGTGTGGTGGCGTGTATCTGTAGTCCCAGCTACTTGGGAGGCTGAGGCAGTAGGACCGATTGAGCCCAGGAATTCCAGGCTGCAGTGAGTTATGACAGCAACTGTGTATAGCCACTGCACTCCGCCCTGGGCAAAACTGTAAGGCTCTATTTCTAAAAATAAATAGACACATAAATTCTTTTGGCTCCTCAAAATTCAACTTAAAAATAAATTTCTTTAATTAAAAAAATTTTTTAATTAAAAAAATAAGAAAGTCAACCAAAGCTTAGCTACAAAAACTGGTTAAGTATATATCATTTCCCCCCATATTAAATAAATAATTGTCCTAGCACCATTTATTAGAAAATGTACCCTCCTTTTTAAATTATTTAAAATCTATGTCCATGTGTCCAACTTTAATAAATGTGTGGATCTATTTGTAGAGATTCATTTCTGCTACCTTAGACAATTTGTCCCTGAGCCAATGATACCACTATACCTTAATTAATAAAACCTCACGAAAAGTCTTACTATCTGCTAGATCACTGCCTCCACCTTGTTCTTCTACTTCAAGAATATCTTCACTACTCTTGACCCTTTCTACTTCTACGCATACCTAAGAATCAGCTTGGCCGGGCTGGCGCAGTGGCTCATGCCTGTAAGCCTAGCACTCTGGGAGGCTGAGGTGGGCGGATCGTTTGAGCTCAGGAGTTCAAGACCAGCCTGAGCAAGAGTGAGTCCCCCTCTCCACTAAAAATAGAAAAATTAGCTGAGCATTGTGGTACCATGCCTGTAGTTCCAGCTACTCGGGAGGCTAAGGCAGGAGGATTGCTTGAGCCCAGGAATTTGAGGTTGCTGTGAGCTAGGCTGATGCCATGGCACTCTAGACAGGGGAGAGTGAGACTGTCTCAAAAAAATAAATAAATAAATAAAAGAATCAGCTTGACCTGTTCTTTTAAAAACCCTGTTGGGTCAGCCAGGAAGTTTAGAGTTAAAAAAGAAAAAAAGAGGAGGAAAAAAAAACCCAAAAACCAAAAACCCTATTGGGATTTTGACTAGAATTTCCTTGACTCTAGAGATCAGATTGTGGAGAAATAACATCATTATGTTATTGAGTCTATCACTCTTCAAGTATTTAGACCTTTTTTAGAGGTCTTTAAATAGACTTTATAATTTTCTCTATAAAAATCTTACAGTCCACTTACTAAATGTATTCCTAGGTACCACATCATTTTTAATGAAATTGTGAATGGTGGCTTTTAAAAAATAAAGTTTTCTAATTTTTTGTTGTTGGCACATAGTAATGTTTAAATATATACCTCTTATAAGCAACCTGTTTACTCATACATGGAGTTAATTACATAAGCAATCAATTTATCTCCAAATAATAACAGTTGTTTCTTCCACTCCAGTCCTTAATTGTTTTAATGTCCTGGGTAGGACCCTCGTGTTGAATAGAAGCAGGAATAGGAGTTACCCTTCTTATTCCTGATTTTACAGAAAGTGACTCTAACTTCTCACCACCAAATATGAGAGCTGCTGCAATTTTTTGTTAGATGTCCTTTATATTGGTCAGAATAAGATAGGCTAAGGTGCTGTAACACACACACTCTGAAATCTTAGAGGCTTAACACTATAAGGGTTTATTTCTTGCTTACGCAAAGTCTGATGAGAGTGAAGCATCCTTACTCCATCTTTAATCTATGCCATCTGCAATACACAGCCTCCAAGGTCACTGGAGCAAGAGAAGAGAGGGATGGAGGAGGAACATCGGCTCAACTGCCTTCACCTACAAGTGACACATGTCACTCCCATTCATAGCCTACTAGACACAACTAGTCACTTGGCCCCAATCTAACTGCAATGGAGACTGGAAAATGTAGGGAAGCCTGTGGAATATTTGGTAAATTCTGTCTCTGCCACACTTTATAAGGATCCTCCTTCTGTTCCTCATTTGCTAAGAATTTAATCATGAATCAATGTGGAATTTTATCAAGCTTTTGCAGTTACCAACATTATAAAGATTTTTCTCTTTAATATATAACATGGTAGATGACATTTACAGATTTTCTAATGTCAACACACCCTTGTATTCCTAAGATAAACCCAAACTGATCACAATATATTTGTTATATTTATTATATTATATTGTACTATTTTTAAGTAAACTTTTAATTGAAATATCTGTTCAGAAATGTGCACAGATATGTCTGGCTGAATATACTTTTATGGAGTAAACATACTAATGTAATTAGCACCAAGATCAGGAAATAGAATATTACCAAAGCTCCCTCTGTGACCCCCTCAATCGCTACCATTCTGGCCCACAGTAACTACTGTCTTGGCACCTAACCCCACAGATTAGTTTTGCCTGTTTTTGATGTGTGGTGGGATTTGATTTATCAGTACTTAAGATTTCTGCAAATATGTTCATGAATATATATATATCATGTAATTAATTTTCCTCTTTTATATTATTCTTGTCTGGTTTTAATACTAATGTCACATTAGCCTCATAAGTTGAGTAGAAGTGTTCCATATTTTTAAAAATCATTTAGAAAAATGAGTATAAAATTGAATGGTGGAATTATGTACAAAATCATAAAGCTGGGCGGTTTTTTTTTTTTTTAGACATTCTGACTCTTTCTCAAGCAGGGCATTTTCTCCAAAAATTTTTAAAATACTGATTCAATTTACCCCGTGTTTTTTGATTATTTGGATTTTCTCTTTCTTCTTGAGTCAATTTTGGGGAGAATTATATTTTTCTAAGAATTTGAATTTCATCCAAAATTTCAAATGTATATGTACTTTGGATATTTATACCTGTCATGGAATTCGCTTCTTCAATAACAAATATTACCAAGTGCCCATTGTTCTAGGTGTCTAGATCAATAAATAAAAGGTACTAAAAAAATCCCTACCTCACAGAGATTACATCCTAGTTAGAGGGCAAAAGAGAATAAACAATAAACATAATCAAAAGGAAAGCATATTGTATATTAAATGATAACAACTATGGAAAAATGAAGGAAAAAGCTGGGTGTGGTGGCTCACACTTGTAATTCCAGCACTTTGGGAGGCCAAGGTGTAAAGATCGCTTGAGGCCAAGAGTTCGAGACTAGCCTGGGCAATATAGCAAGATCCTGTCTCTAAAAATAATAATTTTTTCTTAATTGAAAGAAAAAAAAAGCAGGAAAAAGGCAATTAAGGGTATGGTGCTTTCCATTTTAAGTGGAGTGGGCCTCACTGTGAAACAACACATGGGCAAAGGCAGGAAGGAGGTCAGCCATGTCCAGGGAAGAGCATTCCAGAAAGGGATTTCATTACCTATATTCCTTTATTACTTTTCTCTTTTTCCTTTATTCATTTTTATATGTTTAAAGCTTCATATTTTCCTCTAAGAATCATTTTAGCTACAATGTACAAATTCTGATACATAATATTTGTTCAGTTCTAGATATTTTCAAATTTCCATTATGATTTCTTTTTTGACCTTTATTTAAAAGTATGCTTGTTAAAAAATTTCAAAATGTCTAAGAGCTTTTCTTAAGCTCTATAGTAATTTTCTAACCTGATATACCAGTCAGAAAACATGATCTGTATGATTCTGACTCTTAAAACTTTTTGATTGGTGAGAATTAGAAAGAATGTACATTCTCCAATTGCAGGGCTCAAAGTTCTGCATCTTTCAATTAGATCAAGTTTGTTAGCTATGTTTGTCTATATGCTTAATGATGTTTATTCTCCTTGATCTATTAATGGCTGAAAGGAATGTGCTAAAAATCTTCCATTACGAGTATGTGTCAGTTTCTTCTTGTAGTTCTACCAATATTTGCTTTACTACATGTTGATATTATATTACTGAGTCCCTATACATTTTGAAACTATTCAATCCTACTAGTAAACTAAATATTTATCATTATATAAAACTTATTTCTAATATAGTTTTCTGCCTTAAAATCTAATTATTGTTTATCCCAATTTTCTTCTATCTAGTATTTTCTTGGTGTATCTTTTCCTTTTCCTTTGAATCTTTCTCTACCCTAATGTTTTAAGTATGCCTTCTGTAAACAAATGTAAAATTGGGTTCTGTTTTGTTTTCATCCAGCCCATGATATTTAACTATGACTTACTACGATTACCAACCTATTTTGACTTTTGTATATCTTTGTATTATTTGTACCTTTCAAAAATTTTATTTCTTTTTTCTCTTTTTTTGAATTGACTTAAGTTCCCTCCACTCTCACTCTCTACCTTGTACCATATTTTTCCTTTTGGAAAATATGTTTTAAAAAATATATTCCATTTCTACTCTTGTAATGGTAACTCTTAAAACTTCAGCAAGTATTCTTAACTCAAACTCTAAAAGTCAGCCAGTGTCTTTACCCTTCCCCCAAATATTCACAGTACAAAGGCCTGAGAACATTTGCTCTAATCACACCCCTGCTGAATTATCTGCTACTGCTGTTCAGTATTTCAGATCTATTTGATTGTTTTACTCCTCTCTCCCATTGAGATTTTATATAACATACTGTTTTACACATCAGAGTTTGTTTACATGTACTACCTGTTTAATACTTTCTTCACTTATTTTCCTTTTTGTATCTCAGACATTAGTCCTGAGATCATTCTCCTTCATAAACAGTTGTTAGAAGTTGGGGTCTTCTACAGGCAGACTAACAGTTTGTTTCTTATTTGTTTAACTCTATAAATGTCTTCATTTACCCTATGCTCTTAAAACACAGTTTCACAGGGGAACACAACTCCCAGTTGAGTTACTTTCTTTCAGCATTTAGTGCTATTACTCTGCCATCATTCCATCATTGAGAAACTTAACTTTCATTTCTTTTGTAGATAATCTCTTTTCTCTCCAGCTGCTTTAAAGGTCTTTGTCATTGGTGTTCTGCAATTTCACTATAAAGTGTCTAGGTAAGAGTTTCTCTTTGTTTATTACCCTTCTTGGGATTCACTGGGCTTCCTAAATCTGAGGATTCATATCATTAGGCAACTCTAGGAAAATATCCAGCCATTTATCTTTTTGATAACTGCTCCTAAAGCAGGAGAGGAAAAAATATGGAATAAGAGTGAAGGGAAGGCATCTCTCTCCATCTTTATTCTCTATTCTCCTTTAGATATTTTAGATATATGTTATAGACCTCTGTCTTCTATAAATCTCAATATCTTTTCTGTTTTTCATCTCTTTTTCTCTTTGTGGTACATTCTTGGTAATTTTTTCAGCTTTTTCAATCTGCCAATTATCTCTTTAGCTATATGTAACCCACTATTTAGCTCTTACAATGAGTTTTTGATTTGAATTATCTTTCTAATTCTAGAAATTCTATTTGGTGGTTTTTCTTTTTTCTTTTTTGGAGATGGGGGTTTCACTATGATGTCCAGGCTGGCCTCAAACTCCCAGGCTCAAGCCATCCTCCCACCTCAGACTCCTGAGTAGCTAGGACTATAAGCGCACACCACTGTACCTGGATACTATTTGGTTCTTTCTTAAATATGCTTGGTTGTTTTTATAGTCACTTGCACCTTATTCATACTTTCAATTCCCTTTTTAATTTAAGCATACAAATTTTACATTCTGTATCTGCTAATTCCAACACCCAAAAAATCTTTGGGAGAATAATTCTGTTGTTACTCAGTCTGGTGACTATTATCATGGTGACTTGTTTTCTAGTATGTTTTGTGATTTTTGACTATGAGCTCATATTTTTTAGAACTTTTTCTTAGGAAATTCTCTGAAGATGATTTGTGTTACCTCTGCTAGACACTAAAGGCACTATAAGCCTAGGTTCATTGTATATATATGACAATTCTTAGCTCACGGTTTTTTAGACTACATCAATAGTGTAAACCTAGGTCCTAAAAGCACACAAAAGTCACCTAGTGACCATGAAATCTCTGAGTTGACTTGATTTGTTAACAATACCTCTAGACACAGCAAAGGTAATAAGAACACAGTTATTTTTACTCTATGGCTTAGGATCATTTTTTGCTTGCCCTTTGCCTGACAGTGTGGTCCTTCCTGAATTCTTGCCTTGTGTGGTGATCTCTGATCTGGCTCTTCACCCCAGTCCCACCAAGTGCTGAGGCTCTACACCAGTGCTCCCAACCCTTCTCACACCACGAAACACGGGAAATCATATTTGTCTGGCCCACTGACATGGACAGAGGGGGTTGCTTGAGCACAGATGAGATCGGTCCTAGCGGTCTGGCTTGCCCAAAGATCAAAGGAAGCAACGCTTCAGCCACTCTATCCCCTATTGATGGCACACCTGATGTGCAGGAAGGCTCTGTCTTTGGACATCCTAATCCTTATGGAGCCAACAGGCTATTTGGCTTACCTGTCAGGAACCGTCTAAACTTTAAATTTCACTAATCAGTAAAAACTTGAAGAAATTTTTAGGGACAGACATAAGCTTGCAAACTTTATATTTACAAACTAAGGACATTGAAAAAAATTTTTTTACCATACCATTATTTCATAAAAGACATTTAAGACCAAACAAAAGTATGATGAACATTTCAGAATAATACAAAGACCTTTAAATTTAATGACTTTGGTTTTAATTTGCTAAGGGCTGTCATGGTCTCTGGTTGGCATTTGAGACTACTGGACTAGAGAATAAAGTAAATGGATCTTTCTTTTTCTATAAATAAAATAGCAGATTAGAAAACTGGCTTCACTTTACCTTTTTTCACAAGAGACGCTATCGATATCCATGCTCTGGGAACGTGAGAGAGACTGAGATTGTGTTTCAAGGCTATTAGAGGGCGAGCTGCTAAGAGAACTGACTCCTTCACTGCTCTGGCTCCGATGGGCTACTCCTAAAAGAAAATACATGAAAGATTAAGCCCCATGTGAAATAACATTAAAGCTACTTATAATGGCAAAAGTAAACATGAACAATCTGCAGTCATACCATCATGATATTCTGCAACGGAGGAACTTCTATCAAAAGATTATATTAGGCCGGGCGCGGTGGCTCAAGCCTGTAATCCTAGCACTCTGGGAGGCCGAGGCGGGCGGATTGCTCGAGGTCAGGAGTTCGAAACCAGCCTGAGCAAGAGCAAGACCCCGTCTCTACTATAAATAGAAAGAAATTAATTGGCCAACTAATATATATATATAATTAGCTGGGCATGGTGGCGCATGCCTGTAGTCCCAGCTACTTGGGAGGCTGAGGCAGAAGGATTGCTTGAGCCCAGGAGTTTGAGGTTGCTGTGAGCTAGGCTGACGCCACGGCACTCACTCTAGCCTGGGCAACAAGCGAGACTCTGTCTCAAAAAAAAAAAAAAAAGATTATATTAAATGATAGAAGTAATATTAAAATCATAGGAATATTAGTAAGATATGATAATTTATCAATATACTTCATATGCTTCAGTAATAGAGCTACCCCTGATGCCTAAAACTGATTCTGCATCACCCCTCTTATACCAATTCAAACTATGGTCCCTGAATACAAATTAGCTTCCATGATAGTCCAGAGAAAACCTTCAAAAGCACCAAAAAATAAGATACATTAATCAACAGACAGGTGTGTGAAGTGAGTATAATAAAATGTTAATGGTAGACTCTAGATGGGGAGTATATGGGTATTCCCTACAAAATTCTTTCCAATTTGCTATTATGTTTAAAAATTTCATTATCAAATGTTGGAAAATGCAAATAGAATTTAAGCAATGTCCTTCAGTACAGATTAATCCACTTATTGACTGAACATCTTGGTTAAAATAAAAATATGTGTGGTGATATAGCACATCTTATATTTTCCTGGTTAGAGCTGGAACCCATACTACTAAGTGAAGTATCCCAAGAATGGAAAAACAAGCACCAGATATATTCTCCAGCAAACTGGTATTAACTGAGTAGCACCTAAGTGGACACATAGGTGCTACAGTAATAGGGTATTGGGCAGGTGGGAGGGGGAAGGGGGGTGGGTATATACATACATAATGAGTGAGATGTGCACCATCTAGGGGATGGTCATGATGGAGACTCAGACTTTTGGGGGGAGGGGGGAAATGGGCATTTATTGAAACCTTAAAATCTGTACCCCCATAATATGCCAAAATAAAAAAAAAAATTAAAGAAATTATATTTCCAAAAAAAAAAAAAAAAAATATGTGACACTTTCCGTGCCCTCACAGAACTTACAGTATAGTGAAACTGCAGCCACGAATATAAGGACAGATCATTTCTCACAGCAATTTCCTTGTCAATGCCTTCAATGTTTTTCATAGAATTTAAAAAATTATTTTAACTCTATAAATATCTTTCTATCAAATAAAGTTCACCCAGGCATTTGCAAATACTAAGATATATATACCCATGCTGCTGAAGAAAAGTAAGATCCACATGTTAAAAACCAAAACCACTTGCGTTATCAGTTGTAGCTTAAACAACTACCAAATGGTAAAATTTTAACCCTACCTGAATTCTAAGGATGCAAACTTACCACCCTTTAATGTCTCCTCCCTTCATTAAAGAATATTATAAAACATGTATCCATTCCTGAAAGCAGTTCTTAACATGTACTACTTCATGAAAATGTCTACAGGACTTATAAAGAAAATGAGAAACTAAGTTTCCACTACTCCCAAGAGGACTCAAGTAAAATACACAAAGTATCTAATGTAATAAGAATTCTGAAATAAGCTTGTAGAAGACAGTAAAATTTTAAATTCATTAAATCAAGAAGTATAACCCAAAGTAAGTTCTCAATAAACATTTACTGAAGGAATAAATAATAGGACACCAACAATATCCTTACAAGAATATTGTTTTACCTATCACAATTAAAGGTTAAATAACTTTTAAATTAAAATTAATAATAGAGTTCAATCATTTTTATGGGATATTAATTAAGCAGGCTTTAAAGTTCTCTTCTATAGATTAATAAAATGTGGTATATGTATACCATGGAGTTCTACTCAGCCACAAAAAAAAAATGGTGATCCAGCACTTCTTGTATTATCCTGGATAGAGCTGGAACCCATTCTATTAAGTGAAGTATCCCAAGAATGGAAAATCAAGCACCACATGTACTCACCAGCAAATTGGTATTAACTGATCAACACTTAAGTGCACATATAGTAATAACATTCATCAGGGGTCGGGCAGATGGGAGTGGGGAGGAGGGGATGGGTATATACACATCTAACGGGTGTGGTGTGCACCGTCTGGGGGATCGACACATTTGAAACTCTGACTCATGTGGAGCAAGGGCAATATACATAACCTAAACATTTGTAGCCTGGTAACATGCTGAAATAAAAAAAAAAAAATTTTTTTTAATTACTACTCTATAAAACCAGTTCTAAATTAAAGCTGACATTTATAAGTTGCTTTAAAATATATTACTGTATTATTGTACACATACTATGTGTACTAAAATATCAGTATACTTTGTATTTTTTATGAATGTTAACACTTTAAGCTTAGTTCATTGTCAAGATGGATGTAAATAAACTTCAAAATTTGGATAGACTGATTCCTTTTATAACACTAATTGTTCTTAAGTTTTGTTTTTATGATTTTAGAATGTATAAAACACACAGCTTTGCTTTAAAATAACTGATCAAAGGACTGTTCGGTAGTCTGCAGTAGAGGAAATAGCAGCATTATATTAGGAATCAGGAGACCTGTTTTTTTTTAATCTTTGCTCCGTTTCTAATTTGTCAAAGGTCCTAAGGGGAGTTTTAGATTTCACAGACACATATTGTACTATGTGTACAATAATACTATAACATACTACCAGGGTATACCATATAGTATATTATACTGCATTTGTAATATTTTTATAAGACATCAAAGATATCATCTGAATTCATTTTTTCCTATACCTTCCATGGGATCTTCAAATTTCAGGTCAAGTTGGACAATTTTAAAGGTATATTAAAAAGGAAGGGGGGAGGCCAGGCGTGGTGGCTCACACCTGTAACCCTAGCACTCTGGGAGGCTGAGATGGGCGGATCGCTCCAGGTCAGGAGTTTGACTCTGTCTCTAGTAAAAATAGAAAGAAATTAATTGGCCAAATAAAAATATATAGAAAAAAAATTAACCGGGCATGGTGGCGCATGCTTATAGTCCCAGCTACTCAGGAGGCTGAGGCAGAAGGATAACTTGAGCTCAGGAGTTTGAGGTAGCTGTGAGCTAGGCTGATCCCACGGCGCTCTAGCTCAGGCAACAGAGTGAGACTCTGTCTCAAAAAGGGGGGGAGGGCTAAGGGGAGAGACTAGCTAGCCTTAAAGATCTTGTCCAGCCCTGGTCTTTTACCAATAAGAATATTGAGGCCTGGCAGGGTTGCTCACACCTGTAGTCCTAGCACTTTGGGAGGTTGAGGGGGAAGGATCACTTGAGCCCAAGAGTGGGAGATGGCAGTGAGCTATGATGATGCCCATGTACTCTAGTTCAGGTAACACAGCAAGATCCTGTCCTAAAATATATATATATTGAGATCTATGAAGTCTAAAACTTCCCTTAGGACTGCTGGCAAGTTAGAAACAGAGCAAAGATTAAAAAATCCCTGGGTCTCCTGATTCTTAATATAATGCTGCTATTTCCTCTACCCTGGTCTACTTAACAGTCCTTTGATCACCTACTTTAAACCAAAGCTATGTGTTTTATACATTCTAAAATTATAAAAACAAAACTTAAGAACAATTAGTGTTATAAATGAAATCATTCATTTTATTCGAAATTCTAGAGTTTATTTACATGGATCTTGACAAGGAACTAACAAAGTATTACTGGCATTTTATTTAGCCAATACCTAGTCACACCCCTCAAAACTAAAGCAGCTAATTTCCTGGCAAACACATTTTGCTCCTGTGAATAAACACAAACAAAATGAAATGTCAAATGGGTAAAGAAAAACAGTGGTATCTAAAATGTTAGGATAAGAAAATTAGAAACCCAACTTAGAAAATCACTTGGATCTTCTTATGTATAATTCAGAGGATTGCTCTCCTTAGTGTGAAAGGGAGAATTGTGCAGTCACACACCTGCAGTCACACACCAGGACTGCAGCACAGAGAAACGCCTGATCATAAGGCTGGGACAGGAAATATCCAAGACAAGCCTAGAGCATCTTACAGTACCAGGAAGACAGTGCTCAAAAAAAACAAAGAAACAAAAACAACAAAAACAAATGGAGGCACGTCAGATGAACTGAGAGTTCAACCTGAAAGAGCTCCCATGGTCAAAGCCGGAACAATTTACGTAAAATAAATAATCCAGCCGTTTAGATTATAACTCAAAGTATAAAATAAATATATACAAGTTCATACTGATACAAGTAAGAGATTAAATAAACAACGGGGGAAAAGAGACAAATCTTCCTCACAGGAGAATTCCAAATAATATAAATAGACATCGTACCGCTCTAGGAGAAGGATAATTCCTATCCCTTAAGTGTGGGCTGGACTTAGGAACTCCAAACCAAAGAACTGCATAAGGAAAGGGAAGAATAGCCACTTTACAGTGGAGAAACCTAGCAAACAGTACCATAACATGCTGACAGTTGACATGCCTAGGGATGTCACATGGATGTTACATGCCCCTGATATGTGTTGGGAAGGGCACTTCACCTATGTGATATTTGTCCCCAAAACCTCAAACCCCAGTTTCACCATGAGAAAAACATCAGGCAAAGCCAAATGAAGGGACATTCTACAAAGTACTGACTAGTGCTCTTCAAAACTGTCAAGATAATAAAAAACAAGAAAAAAACTGAGATACTGTCATAGACCAAAGGAGACTCAGGAGACTTATGTTTAGTTAATGATAATATGCCAAGGCGAATTTCTTAGTTTTGACAAAA